TTATGGGCTGAGAGGTTAAGTGTAAGACCATTGAGGGTAATACCTGATGGGCTAATCTTGCATCTACCCACAGTCCCTGGGTGTTACAAGGTGGCTTGGCCCAAGGACCACTTAGTGTAAGTGTTGGGCCCATAGAGTCCATCTGATTGGCTCAGGGGGTTCACTGGGCTTTCTAGTGAATTGGGCTAGGCCTTGTAACAAAGGCTGGGCCGAACCCTTGTGGCTGATGTGTAGTTCAATGCTTGGGTCCCACACCATACAAGGAAGCCCAACTGGGCAGCAGTTTGGAAGGCTAAGTGAGCACACACTATTAATGGGCCTAAAGCCCATTTCGAACTGGGCTGATTTGATCAGTTAAAGAAGGGGTGAATCTGAGATTAGATTAGCAGATAGGATAGGGTCTTACCCTMTCCACTCAGAGAGTCTAAATCTGAATACAGATTTAGATCTGGAAACCTCCTAATCAGATTAGGAGAGGGCTGATCTAATCTGCAGATAAGATAAGGGTCTATCCTTATCTCTTAAAGGGAATTCAGATCCAAATATGATTTGGATCAACTCCTAATAGGATTAGGAGCTAATCCCTTTAAGATTATAAAAGGAGAAGGGGGTGGCAGCTATAGAAGATCAATCACATTCGAAATTCAGAGAGAGAACACAGTACCCAGTGAGACTGAGTTGTTTTCTTCTTGTCGCCTCCTTCTTGCCGCCGCCTTTACTGCCAGTTCGATCTCCTCTTTCTAGCAGAAGTGATCAAGATTGGATCTTGATATCAGTCTTTGGAGAAAGGCTGATCTAAAGGTGTGCTCACTGCCTCCAGCGAATTCTTGTGAAGGGTTCGGTTCTTTTGGAAGAACACTGCTGATTCTGCTCCATCCTACACTGCGCCATCTTCAGTGGGAGTAGTCTTTGGTTCCTACCTTGGGCGCAAACACCTCCATTGGGAGATACTGCTTCTCCGTATCAGGTATATCCCTCTCCTGCTTCTGGTTTCAGATCTGGTTTAGTTTATGGTTCAAGATTGATCCTTGAAAATGTAGGTTTTCTAAAACAGGGAATGTGATTCCCAGATGAGGGGAGAGGAAATTTTTGAAATTTCGCCTAACCTACCTATAGGGTTTGGCCATCCATATGATGGATCTCTATTCCCTTCAACTTTTGCCCCAGTAGCCAAGATGACCACTATTCGAGTTCTATTAGCCCTTGCAGCAAGTTACTCTTGGCCCTTGTTCCAGATGGATGTTAAAAATGCCTTTCTGAATGGAGACTTACAGGAAGAGGTCTACATGCAGTTGCT